ACGGACAGCAGTCTTGACCAAGGCCACCTGATTCATCTGTAAGTATAAGTTTAATAATAATTTAAAGAAGCAATTGTTTGCGGTGGACAACTTCACATATAGCATTCAGTATTGAACAAAGAATGTTAATAGGTAAGCGGTGAAGCAGACAAGTCATCGCTCCATCACAAGGCCACACAGAGATTAACTAGGCTAAAAGCCATGCTAGCACATACATTCTCCTGTATCAATGCTGAAAATATCAAAGCCTTCTATCAATGCGCAGCCAAGGAATATGCACATTTAGAAAACATCTGATTTACTAAAGCTAATTTCACAAAAACAGCTAATAGATTGTAACAGCCCTGGCAGAGATTACACCAGAAAAGCAGATGTAGGACATTATAATCAGTACTGCTGATTTGCTATGTGGTTACATTGTGGTTATGATGGAGAAAGCTAAGGAAAAGATATTCCAAAATACATAGTTCCTTGAAACAGTTTTTTGAGGGTTGATAGTCAGCACGTCTCCTGAATTGCAGTGATGCACAGTTTCAACGGGCAAGGTGAAGGCTGGGATTAGATCACTTTCTATTTCCATGAGTTGTGCACTCGATGCCCCTAAGTTGGACAGCTTTCAACGAGGGATCATCTGGTCCAAGCCGCCCATCCAAGCCGCCCGTCCAAGTACATGATCCTTGACCAGGTGCTAATCAGACAGATCTTAGAGTGGGAAGCAATACCTGAGTGGGTGATTCCATTTTATTCCTTTCCGAGAACCTGTTTATATTTCAGATGTCATTAAAAAAAAAGTTACTGTAGTGATGAAACATTTGTAAAGCAATAAACAAGGTTTTGTTGAAATATGATTATTGAAATAGTTTAAATTTTTTTCAAGATATGCTTACCAGGTTACTCTGGGAATGTAGACATGTTTGTGTATTTTAGAATCCATGTAGATGTGAGGTCCAGTGTTCTCTCTAGGTACTCTAGTTCCTCCTACAGTAAAAACAATATGCATGTTAGGTTGATTGGTCCGACAAATTGTATTGCAAGTTGTATGTTTTGCTTGTTTCTTTCATGATTTCCCAGCGGCATGTATGGGTATCTTGTCTTTTTGAAGCTTCAACTACCTGGAGGGACCAGGTGCAGTACAGCTCCACCTGGTTATGGTGATCACCAGCAGAAGCATTTAAGGAGCTGGCTGTGGTTCGTTCCTCGCCTGAGTGTCACCCTAAGCGGTACCTCGATCTTCACAGCATTTTGTCTTTCAGAGTGTTTTTTCATCAAAATAAAATTCTCCACATTTCTCTAGTGTCCTGCCTTGTGGCGTTCATCACAACCTCTCCAGAAGCCTGATACCTGTTCTCCAAGCCTCCACATACCTGGGACTCAGCCTGCCATCATCCCTCTGCCGTCCTGTTTGCCCTCCATTGACACCAGCTCTTGTTTTCCCGGACTACCCTCTTCTGTCCGGATCTGGACTGTTTCCTCCCTTTCACAACTCCCTTTCCAGCAGCACCACAGAACACTTTAAAATAAATCTTGTTTAAGGTCTCTGGTAGCTCTCTGCATGTGGGTCCAGATGCTTCCTCGCTCCGTGACAGTTTCTCTGTGGCCCTGTGATAGGCTGGCGACCTGTCCTCGCTCCCATTGTCAAGTGGGATGCACTCCAGTGCCCCTGTGACCCTACTAGGAATAAGGTGCAAGCGTAGATGGATGACCCAGTGTTGTACCACCTTAGAGCAACAACAACATTGTTGATGTTCTGATATCATGAAAAGGAACTTCCTGAATGCCTAGCGCAATTTGAAATAGCTCAAGCAGAATGTCTGTGTTAAATAGACTTTGAAAGCTCAATATGATAAAAATCACACACATAAAAAGAAGGAATGCATAGAACAGGAACATCAACATAACAGAAAACATTCCAACAAAGGTTGAAATATCTTTTAATCTTTTTATCTTTCCCTTTTGTGTCCCTGTCTGGAAATGCTAAAAGACAGGATTTATGCATTTTTAAATCAGATAACATATTGTATATCCAATAAAATAAGTTTTTAGTAATATGATATTTGAATGTATTTTCAAATTCTTTACAAACATTTTTTCAAAGCAACTGTATTTCAGGTACACTTTTCCATTTATCGTCACTACATATTCTTTATACTCAGTGACCCGCACGAAACAGAAGTGACAACTTCCTGCTCTCTGGGCTCAATGGATTAATTATTTGCGGTGTACCTTAGAGCAAAAAGTAGCTTAACCAAGAAGCAACTAACCTGCTCCATCATATGCACTAATCTGTTGGTCATGGTTCGACATTTATTTGATTGATTTTCCCTTTTTTATATACATTCCTGGTGGCAAAATGATAAGATTGTTGTCTATCAGTCTTTGTGCAGAGAAGACTAAATATCAGATATCAAAACAGCTAACAAAAGTCATTAAACTTAAAGAAGATTATTTTATTATTGTAACAGACACTATTAATCAGGTCAGCATTTTAGAAAGAGGCTGCTTTCTCGATTAATTACCCATTTTATCAAGCTTAATTTAGTGTTTGTCCCCCTTTGCTTGTCCATATACAAATACAAAACTTTCAGCCCAGACATAGCGGGAATCCAATCTGAGTCACGTGTCCAAAGGATAATAAACCCTGGCGGGTAATGCCTTGACAGACTCTCTCTAATACCTCACGTTAAGAACATTGTGCCCAACAGTGCCTCTTCACTTAATGAACTCTTACATATGTCGATTCAGCTCAGTCTGATTAGCATTAGCTGAGTTCTGGTAGATTTGTGCAATCAATTTTTACCTTTGCAAATGGTCTTTTCTTTGACCAGGTAACATTCTCGTTGTTGGATTTGGTAATTGCTCCAGCCACATGGCTTTTACATATGGTACCTTTTGTGTGACTCTATTTTTACTGGCTGTGGTGCCAATGCTGTTGGTGACATATGTTAGACTAAATGGAGCAGTATCAAGTGTTTTGCAAGCGTACACATGGTTGACAAGCAAAAATCTTATGAACGCTGGAATAACAGCACTGTTCGTAACATGAATCTTTTATGTATCCAAATTGTATGTAGGTGTATAAAGGGAAAGCTATAGGGATATTTTATATTTATATATGGGTGAAGAGGACACAAATTTTCACTAAGGAATTAACCCACCATCAAGTGCTCTCAATCTGATAGCAGACGTGCCACAGATCACTCATTCTAGGTTGTAATACTAGGTTGTGGGTGTGAATAGGATCAAGATCTCAATATTCCTTTCCCTTGTTGCATAGATTCAATGCATTTAGGGCGTCATTCCTCTCTTTTCTTTAGATTTGCTTTGGTTATCCTTAAGAACTAGCCTTTCTGACCAGGTATTTATCAGTGAGGGCAAACCTTTTTTTCTTTCTGTTTTTAGGTTTGTGAAATGTCATTACAAACTAGTGTCTTCAGAATCCATCTCAATATAGTTATCTTTGAAAATAAATAATAAAATCTGTAAGATATTGTTTAGGACAAGTAGCCATTTCATTGCAGGGTGAAACCACCATAAACACCCACATTCACTCCTAGGGGCAATTTGGAGTGTCCAGTTGTCCAACAGGCATGTATATGGCCGGTGGGAGGAAACCAGAGAACCCAGAGGCAGAGGGAGAACATGCAAAATCCTCATAGATAGGTTCCGGTCCCCCCTGGGGACTAAATTAAATATTCATCAGCTCATCTTAATCATAGGATCAGAGTATGGACTGTTGAACTGAATTTGAGTGTAGAAAGAGATTTCAAGAAGGATCAGGGATGAAGACTAAACTCTGGTCAAAAGTTTACTCAAAAGCCGTTTCTTTAATTGTCTAAACAAGCACAAACAATAATTCAGAAATTACAAATAGGGTGGATATCTACTCTCCTGTTGTGAATGTCACTTAGCTCCATTGCCTAAACCTTAACTTAACCACTTTCCAGAGAAGACTAATCTTAGCATTTACGATAACCCAATTATCCTTCCCCTCAGTCATTATCCCGGGTGTAAAACGGTAGAGAAAAATGTGAAAAAACAATAAGGAGATTTTAAAGTGCTCCCCTCACGGGGCCACTGTACCCCGGAAGAACATATTTTATGTGTATAAATTTAAAACATTTGAATAGTGACCTGTCCAGGGTGTACCCCACCTCTCGGGACAGGGACTATAATAAATAAACTAATGGATGGACGTTCTTATTTGTACCAAAAAAGAATCAGAAAAATTACATCTGAAAACTAAAAAATATGAGTTTAGTTTCCTTTGAAAAATTAATCACAAGTCCCAATTTTTTAACCAAAAGTGGGTAATTCTATTGTGAATTTTTCCTCCTATCCTTCCATTTTTGTTTAAAACTATTGCAACTATTTAGCAGCTAATCTAACACACTAGGTAGGAATTCTAGTAGAGTTCAATAAGACCTCTACTGCTCACACTTTTTACTTGATTGGAATGGCTCAAAGGGGTGTACAGTTTCCTATGTTCAATATGACAGCTTATGCAGTCTTTGAAAAATAATTTAATGAAGTCAGTTGTGAAATAAAGTTTTATCCATATATATGTAATTCTAAATGTCCATAAGAACAGCTATTTACACTTGAATAATAACTGATGCTTTCTAACTTGCTTTGTTTAAAATGAGTCGTTAACAACGATAACATCAATAACTGTACATTATGCATTATGACTGTTGGGGAATTTCTCAAATCTATTATAATCATTTACTGTATAATGACATACCTGCGTCTTGTTGTATGTATTTGTACATGTATAGCTGCTTACACCCCCATTCAATATGTTGTGTTTTTATTATGAGTTAGTCTTTCCCCTTGTTAAAATGTCTTAGTTATAAATGAATGTATTCAAATATATATGTACTTTTATAAAGAGTGGATACAAAAATGAGGAAAATCACACATAATGTTTTTTCTTTTGAAAAACAGGTGTTCATATGTGGCAATATAGTTACGACAGAAGACAGGATAAAACGTGCTACACCAAGAAGTAACTTTTATTACATTAAATACAGCAGTCAGTATTGACATTATACTTATTTGGTTTAATAAAAATGATGACTCATCTTCTTCTACAAGTTAGTGTTCTTGATGAGGTAGTAAGTTATCCCATAAAAAATAGATGGGTTACAGCTAAAAGGTTGATGTGCAGTATATAGATTAAAATACATGTTATTTGTTCATAAAATTAAATTGATTTAAAAAAAAAAGACCATTATAAAAACAAGATTGAATGAAAAATTACATTTAATTGAAGCTGACATAGATAATCTTGAAAGCATTCTTCACAATTCAATGTCACAGCTCTTCAGGTCATATTTATGATATTTATGATGCTTTTTGCTTACACAATTATAACTCTAACAAGAGCTGCACATCTTTGTTGAAGTGCTCCTTTTTATTATGCACAAAACACATAATATTAAACATCAAAAAACATTTGATATAATTTACATAATATATGGGTAATTTCTTTGTCTTATATTACACGAAGGGTCTGACCAGTCCCATATCAGCAACACCACTTTTGATTAATCTTCACATGTTTAAATCATGCTAATTCTAAAATAACTATAATCAGAACTAGCACCAGCTTTCAATAATTTTAGGGATTAAATGCTTTATATTTAATTTGTTAAAATCAACAAACCTGCCTGTATGGGAATGTGGGAACAGAACCGGAGCATAAAGTTGTCACCGTATGCGCCTAACTGCTCCATTGCAAGGTTTCATATCATCAATAACCATGTAAAAGTAATATAGTAAAGACTGTGCACTCTCCATATTATTGAAAAAAGTACTCATGTTAAATTAAATGCCAATGTATTGAGATTTCTCCACTTTGCTTTTCTCAGTGTAAGGCAGCATCAGAGGTGCCTAGAGAGATACCACCCTCCTTACTGGGATTCCCCTTCCTTTGAGGTCTTATAAGAAGGAAGGAAGGGCAGATATTGGAAACATTTAAATCTTTTCAAGAAACCTTTGCAGAATGGGATATCATAGCAGGATAGGTCACAAGAGCTTTTGCCTTGCTCGTGCACCTTGTCCTGCCAATTCTTGATGCCCCTTTCTTTTTCAGTGCCTGAAAAAAAAAAAAAAAAAGCATTTTTCAAAGTGTAGCTGATAGTAATGATAGGAATGGTTTGATAACTTGTTTTTATTTGATTAGCTTTTATTCATACCTGGAATCGTATTATCCAAGATGAATCCAAAGAATCCACCGATGAACATATGAGTGGTGAAGAGCACAACGATCACTTGGTCCAACTCTTTTATTCCTTCAAATGGAGAAGATAATATTTTATACATTTGATACTATTAAACATTTCGGGGAACTATATAAAAACTATGAATTGCAAAGGCCAGAAGATTGGAATAAATTGGAAATAAAAAAGCAAAACAGTGTAACTAAAAGCCAATGGTTGTCCCACAACTCTCTATCCATATATGTTCAACTGATTCTAGGTCATCTTTGAAAAACATTTTTCTGTGAATTGCAACATTTCTCATAAGCTGTCAATAGACTCTTGTAGTTTAGTTATTTTGGATGTTCACCCTCAAACTGAAAATTGACTGTAAGATATGTTTAGAGTGTTTTGGAATGTCAGTTTATATTCCACTTTTTGCTGTTTAACACATCATACTTTGTCATTTAGATTTCTTCTTAAAGCTACCCGTATTTCGTTTTATTTTTGGTAAAATGTGTATATTATATGCATCCCCAATCTTCAGTGGCAATGTATCCTCTCACACAATCATTGATCGTAAACCCTGGCCAGCAGCTATATGATGCCTTCTTTACAATCAGACGTGTTTTGTTTGTTCAAACACTAGTAGGTGATGAAGAAGCATGGGTCCCTTCATATAAATGAACATATACAATTTGAACAGCTTGTGTGGCATTCCTTATAAACTGTATAAGATGTAAAACATTGTTATCAGGTGATGATATGAATGTGTATCCTCTTTTTCAATGGAAGCTTGGTTTTCTCCTGTCCAAGGGTCCTTGAAGTAGATTAAGTAAGTAATACGATACATTTATTGAGCTGTTTGTTGATCTTGTGATAAACTGTGCAGAACAGTAAAGGGGCAATCAAAGTGGTGAGCAAGGTAGTAAAACCTTATCATCCAAAATTAATTAAAAAAACTTAGGCTCTTTGACTACCAAATTGTGAATACTCCTGATCAGCTCATTGCACAGAATACTTTACACATAAGGGATGTAAGAACATCAGACATGTATTCAATTGGTGTAGGATGCATATTAAAACTATACATGGTGTAGGGATTTCTATTTTGAATTCTAACATCGTGCTTTCTAGAGCATCGCATTTTTAATTGGGTACTACAACTACGGTAGCCGTCATGCATCAAGAAGTAATGACAACATGACTTCCACATCATCGAGTTTTCTCCTGGGTTTGTAATTTAAAAAGAAAGTATGATCCTCCATTGTGGACTAAAGTGCAATGCAAGCTTTCAAATTTGCCAGGGCAGTGACTAGCAAAGAGGTGACAAGCGAGCGACTCTCACTTATTATAGCTTGTTTCAGTCACCGGACTCTGGCTTTGAATGAAAACGCATTGTGGATTAGCAAGACAGGTAGACTAGTGCTTTATGTCCCTCTCTGTGGTTACAGTTTTTTCAAAATGGCGGCACGACATGGAAACCTCCGTGGACTTACCTGTCCTAGGTATATACAGATAAGAAATTCTTCGCTTATGGGGAGAAGTCAGATCATTGGAGAGGCAATTTTGCACCAAATGAGGACATATTTATAAATTAAGAAAATTATTTTAGCTAATAAAATACCGAAAATACTATACAATGTCCCTTTAAGAAGTATGGAATAATGTCAGATAAAAAGGTCTTTTACTTTTGGTAATGTAATAATTTGTTTTAAATATCCTTTGCTGTAATTACATGTAATTGGATGTAATCATTATAGTAATTACAGCAACAATCTCATAGATGTGTTAAACATCCATTAAGGTTTGGAAGGGATCAGGGACATAGTTGATGTGCAGCTAAATAAAATAGATTTTTCTAGATAGAGAAAATTGTGAAGTACCTTAATGATCTAAATAGCTTATTTTTTTCCCCTTTCAAGTTCTTGTAAAATAGTTATTCAATTAGTCATCATCCCGATTGGTATTTACAGCATAGAAGATAGACCATTGTGCCCCTTTGGGAACTGTGTTTCTCTTATTTGGAACAATTTACAAACCCCACAGGGAGATTTTTTTTTTATTGGAACCTGACTTTTAGGTTATATATGTTATGGGCTGGGGCTTTGGTTAGAGTTTCTGGACTTTGATTTAGTTTATTATTTCTGTTTTCCCATGCTTTAGTTTCCTGTGTTTTATTCTAGTATCTTTTTTAGCTTCCTGTCTTTGTCTGCGTTTCCAACTTCACTTCCCTCAGTTCCTTTCAGTGCTTTTCTGTGTTATGGGCTCAACTTTGTTGATCTGTGTTCCCTAAGTCACCTGCCCCTCATTTAATAATCACATTCCCCACTATAAAAAAAAAGGATCAGCCTTTTCATTCTTTGCCAGATCCTCACCAAAGTTTTGTTTCCTCTCTCTCCTTGTGAGCTTCCGTGTCTTTGTATGAGATCTATGTCTTGGTTTTTGGTTTTCCCCCAGTTTAAATTTGTATCTGGCTCCGGCTGCGCCTTTTGTTATCTTTTGAAAAATACATTTAGTTTTCTGAGTACCTTGTTTCCTCCTGTGTTTCTTTCCTGGCCCTAGCATTTTGGATCCATCCCTTCACCACTGGCGATTCATGACAATTTTGCAATTTTGGAAGCGCCACAAAACAAAATTACATTTACTTCCATAGTATTGGCACAGTCACTTATTTTAGAGATGGATGTCTCAGGCCTTTCCAAAACAAACAAATCATGTTCCATGGCTAAATAAAACACGAGGAGATGAAAAAAAGGCTTTTGTATGTTGGATGAACTGAATGCTGAACCTCAAATCTTCTCAACACTACAATATTCACACAATATTTTAAAGAGGACCTTCGGATGAAAAGTGAATGATCGATAATATATAAGGGAGGCACACAAGAGCCAACTACGTTGGTAGTTTTCATTTAGATATGGGGAGAGTAATATGGCAGAAGTAGGACAGTTAAAATGTTGGGATGATTATCGACTGAATATCTGTGTGACCACAGGAGTAAAACATTAATGCTTTTGACGGTTGCTTCGTGGTAGAGGAGCTGTAATCACCAGAACACCAAGATGCCAATTTCCAAGGTCAGGGTCGGCCTTTTATGTGGTGTGTGTGACCACCAGCACATGGGTAAAACAGAGAGCCATTGAATATGTGAATGCCGGCATGTCCGATGCCCTGCTTTCATAATGCTCCTCAGGCAATAAACTGCCTAATGAAGTTGCGTCGAATTGAATCAAGAATTTAAGATTGTACTGACGTAGTTTTAATCTGAACACAATTTTGTTAAAAAAAACATCCCTACATACAAAAACACACATGCACACACACGCGCGCGCACACACACACACACACACACATATATATATATACATTTCCTGATAAAAGAGGCAGCAGTCAAAAGTTCAAGGCCCCCACTGGGTTGACTGTAAGTCTAACAGCCTGTACATGTAAGAACGTCTGGATGAGCCACAGTTTGTTTACAAAGAGAGGCATTGACAGGCATACACTTGTGTGGAGATATCAGCTGAGTGTTGAGGCTGGAGAAAGACTCTGGGGCAAGAGTGCTTTATCTGATCCGGGCAGATTACAGCCACTGACATGGGGACAAGCCAAGAGGATTGTGAGGTAAGCAGCCTAGACCTGAGAAAACCAGACAAGCCCTCATGCCCAGTGTTGAACTCTGGATTAGCACTTTCCTGGGAGACACTGGCATCACATGACTTATAGGATCAAGGACTTATGTCTACAGAAAAGAGCTGTTTAATCTTGAAGATTGCTCTTTTGATGGTACCTTCATAGGTAGCAGCTAGAAAGAATTCATGCAGTTAATTTGTACACAAAAGCAGGGAACCGTCATCTGAGGGTTTGTCATTTATGTATTTATGTACTTATTCATTTAAATTCATTTAATTCACAAGGGTAATGTTTCATGACAGGGTGAGTGCAATGAAGTTTAATTTGTTGTGTATTAACATATTGGTGTATTATGCTTATGTAAGGTAAGAAGTCATTTTCAGCAATCTATTGATTATATTATACTTCTTAGTCCCAGTTATCGTGGGGGTGGGGGATTGGTTGGGGGTGGGGTGGGTGGGCAAGAAGCAGGGTATACCCAGTCAACTGCGGGATGAAATCTGTTTCAGTACTTGAAAAACATCATTCCCTTTTTGCGTTTAAAAAAACACAATCATTTTCTTTCAACAAAAATGTATCCCTCTAATTTTCTGCTCTCTTTACCCAAATGAACAGCTGACACAAATGAATCCACTACCACAATCGTTTGTATACAGTGGTACACATTAATAGCACAGAGAGAAGTAAATCAGGACTTAACCTGGATTTTGTGCATGGGATATAATTTTGGCCCTCAAAACTTAATTTGACATGCAGTTGTTGTTTTGGAAAAGTGAAGATCTTCTCATGCTATAGTAGGCCACTTTGTAACTATAAAACACAAAAACAAATGTATCAAATGAGTGAAATTGACTTATACACATACTTTTACCTCACTGCGACTTCCACTTAATTAATTATATAAAAATTCAACGATCAAGTATCAGCATCCTAAAAAAAATCTGCAGTACACTCTCTTGTGCTGTCATGTGTCATGTTTTCAGTTACAACAAGTTGTATTACGTTTAACTGCTGCAACAGTACTCCCTACAGTCTGAACTACAGACTACATGACTACAGAACCTACATAACATTGAACCAAGTTGACTCACCACAAACAACTCAGTTACAAATTACATGTTACTTTGTGTCCTTAAAGTACCTTGGAGAAGACAAAAAAACAACAGATGACAAAACAAACAAAAAATCTGACTTGATCAGGTAAGACAATTAAAAAGATTGTCCTTGCCACTTAAAAATCTAGGCTAAAGACTGAAAGTAAGATGTTTGCCATCTGGGCTTGAGGGATTTGGGTGGACCTTGGTCTTAGGAGCTTAAGCTGGAGAACTGCTGCCAGCTTCAAGGGTACAGTCTGTGGGTGGAAGCACAGAGGGACCACACTGCTTCATACCTGTTGGGCAAGGCATCGTGTGAACTTTATATGGATGTGCTTTTTTGGCATTGTTCACCAACTTTAATAAAAAAAACAAAGATGATGATCCCAAGCTCCATCGAAAGTAGTGGCTGCTTCAAATGTTTTGCACAATAAGAGACACTGATATCAATCAGAGAACCACCTTTACAGATTTTCTGCTTTCCAATTGGTGCTAATTGTTGCATGGTAACAAACCAGTTCTGTATCTTGACAAGCTTACACATGTTACTGTTGGGTAACTGCATACCACTGTACTCTGCATACTCCATACTGGTCTACTACAGGAGAGTTGTTCAAAGAAACATGAGAATGTAAATAGTAAAGACAGACATAATTTAGTGCAAGCCAAGGTTTGTGGCTCCAGAGGAAAACATTTTAAAAAACAATTGTAAAGAGCAGTTTGGCTAACTTTGTGCCCTTCTGATGTTGCCCATCCCTTGTTATGGGGACAGCAAATATTGCTACTGTATATAAATGTAATTGTCAAAAACCAAAAGTCATCTTTAAACACTCAATTGCTGAAACAAAAGTATAAGGTGAGATACACACAAGGAACTTGTGCTACAAGCAAACGGACCACTCTCAGTGAGTATTTAACCAGTAAAAAGTGCTGTGTGACAAGTCATTGGGGTCATCAAGTGGGAGGTTCTATTCATCAGTGTTTACTCTAATTGGGCCCACAACACCTTCAAGAGGCTAGACAGTGATAACTGGCACCCTAAACTTTGCTTCCAATAGGCTATTATATTATTAGATCACAAGACCAAATCTGGCCTTAGACCTTTACAGGCTATATCCTTGGGAAAAAACAAGCTTTCCTCCTAAATGTACCTTTAACTCCTAATCACAAGCATCCTCTAAGATGCCTTGACTCCTTACTCCCTTTGTAACTATCTCCTCTTCACAAACTGAATAGCATCACTTTTTGTCTGAGATCCTCCTAAATGATCCTGCCTTTGCTTGTTTTCATTACATGCAGCTACGTTTCATAAAACTTTATCATGTCTCCATGTATAACAAACTCGTGACAAACTAACATTTCAACTTGACAAAATGTGCCTCAGATTATTACCTGAACATAATGAGCATTGAGGGTCTCCATTTACCCTACATTTTAGGGTCTAGGGAGAAGGCAACCTTCCTCCAAACTCCAATGTTCTTTCCAACAAAGCTTTTTAATATCAACACCTTCCCAGTTCAACTATTTGCCTGAGCCACTACCTCTATACCCGTTAACATTTTCTCCTGCCCACAGACCCAATATATTCTGCTCTTCTATGTACTGCTAACCTACCTCTAAAGTATCTCTGAAAGACCAAATCACATAAGAGCTGAGCAAACAAGCATGTTCAAACACATGTTTATACAGTATGAAAACACACAAGCAAAGCACAAAGACACTGATGACTGCTTTGGAAAGTGTCCCAAATACATGTCCTCTTTTACTTAAATAAAAAATTCATTATGAGCTAATGAGCTAATAATAATGAGCTTACCAATTGAATTTAATCATAATCTTTTTAAATGTATAGAATGCTACAGTGGATGTAGCATGGATTATAAAAGTAGCCAGTAGCTTATGGCTTTCTGTTTAACGATAGAGACACCTAAAGCTGATGTTAATAAGCTTTTAACTTACTATTTCAGATAATCTATTTATCCAAAATGGCAACCAATTCCAGCAGCTATTAAAAGTTTTTTTAATTTAAGTGTTCCTGAAAAACAGGAACATTTGGAGATGGTGGTGTCAAAATGTTTCCCCAAACTAGTTTGTTGAATTTTTTTTTTCTTTTCTTTTTTCCAGTTCACTCCTAATTTACGTGAAAGGTTAATCTTGTGAACTACATGGCTAACAAATGGTGCAAATATAGTCCTCAAAGTCTGCTGACTTAATAAGCTACAAACTAGCTTCTGTTTTTCTGAGCCTTTACATGAGCCTTCTATTCATGATGAAATAGCGGTGACACAGCCAATGACATTTACTTGCTTTACCTACTTTACTTACCTCCATTACAATGCACACATAGATATTCATATACAGTTTATATATATATATATATATACATACATGAAACTATGTAAATATATACTGTGCATATTTACAAAGATTAAAAATGTAATATGTATATATAAACTTAAGATTACCTGTGTCAATGATTCCAGGGTTGGAGTGAAACCAGGAGGGTAATACGAGACCACTGAAGGTTGAAAAGCCGAGGATGAGGAGGTTGCGAGAAGAGTTAAGATCAACATACTGGACAGAAAAAAGAGGACAAAGATGTGCTAAAAATAGTTGAAACGTGTTGATTAACTTAACATTTGAATTTTCTAAAATATTTTGCAGATCTGTTGTTGATACAGTATCTGCTTTGGAAGTTGTTTAAATTTGACTGGAAATAAAGTTAAAAAAAACAGCAAAAGCAAGTTCCACACTTAATAATGATTAAAAGTTCACTGGAGCTGCGTCAAACCAAAGTATTAACTGACTCAGAGGTTGATAGAATTTCAACAAGCTATATTTTTTTCTAGCTCTCAACAAATTCCATATATGAAGGGAGAAAAAGCCCACACGATAATTAATGTAGATGTATACACAAACACATACACAGAGAGTTGTCCCTCATTTGACATTATATTTGATCAAGTTGCTTCCAGCTCTCATGAGTTTACCCATATGTTCCTCTGAAAAACTGAAACATAACACTAGACTTTTCTGTCCACACACTCCAAAAGAGTACTTTATTATTCCAACAGCTTGCTTTATACTATATAGCATGTACTAAATCCTAACCCCTTCAAGATTATGACCCCACTGACTCAAGGATTAAAGGAGTCATGTTTGTTTGGTGAAAACAAAGTAGTTTTAGGGATATGAGGGGGGGAGTTTAACAGAGACTGCTAAAAGTTGCTCTTTAAAATAATACTGTGGAAATGGGACTCCCCACTCTAATGAGTCAATGAATTCAATGTTGTGCAAGAGTTCCTTTCTAGCAAATGCTCCCTTGGACTCCCTGCTGTGTGTTTTTGTTACAGCACATTAAAAAAGCAGTATGAGTCCTCTATGCAACAGCCAAACAGTTCCATTCTTGGGAAAATAAATCCCCCTAAAAGTTACTAGTAGATATTGGATATTTGAGAACTGCAGTGTTTTCCAGTTAAGATACTTTTTTCTCCAGATCTCTTTCTAATGTGTCCTTTGTGGTGAAGTAAAGGCTGGCCATTTGAGATTTACTTTGGAAGCCTACTGTCAAATAGCAATAAATCACAAAATTATACTTTGTACCATGTAAAGATCTTAAGTAACAATATACTTATCTTTATGATAATAACTAACTATACAGCGAGAGTTGACATCCAAAGCACAACTTTATATTCAAATGTTGATTTATTCATGATAACATCTTTTCAATGGCTATCATAAGGCCTCTACTTATTAACCAGGTGTTTGTCTCAGTTCTAAATAATGGTCAAATCAAAGTAAATCTCAGTGGTAAAAATCTTAGTAGAGATATTTTGAGAGATGGTACCTTCCACACTGATTCTTTTCCTAAATATATTGTGTATTTTTATGTGAAAAGTGTTCAGAACACTTTTCTCATGACGGCCAAACTTGTGAAACAGTTCAAATATAAAGATTAAATGCAGCTTGAGAGTAATCTGACATGCAATTTATTATTTATCTCCTTTATACTGCAGTAGTTTTTTATCGAATATAAACTTAGTTGTGCTAGTCTCAGCTGTATGTTGTTAGATAAGATATCTCGTAAGTGCAGGTGCGATAAACTAGAGCAAGCTCATCCCTACTTGCTTGTTTCACCATGCTTACTAGATACTGACTGAAGGTCTTGTTTGGGAAGAAGCTGATAGTCCCAATTATTTCTCTAATAATCAAAAATGTATCACAGCTTATGCTAGATTCTAGTTTCATTGAGTTTTTATTCATGTGTTTACCTGGAGGTTAGATATCCCCACAGCTGCAATCATTCCAAACATAACAAGGAACATTCCTCCAATAACAGGGTCTGGAATGGTAATAAAAACTGCTCCGAACTTCCCAAAAATCCCCAGGACAATCATCAGAATTCCAGTTGTCTGCAGGACCAGTCTACTACCAACCTACAAAGAAACAAGCAAAGGCACTTTTTAGGAGAAATCATTTCTAACCAGATAAGATTTAATATGTATGTCAGTATAATGATAAACAAGTAGTTTCGAATGAATTAAAAGAAAAAAACAGTAGATAAACTGGACTGTGAAGCACTGGATGACTCATTTATTCAGACAAATATGTGTATTTATCTGCAAAGGAGATGTTAGCTGGAGTCAATGTGGGAACAAGGAAAACTAACAAATATAATCTCATTAACTGACCGATGTTAGATAACTTGTTAGGTAATATGCTGTAAAGTTCCATTTAAAAATCAATTAATCAATTACAGACTTACTAATGATCTCCACATGCTAATAATCAAAGACAGTGTAGCTGTTCAGTAACTTTTCCTGAATCTTAGGGATGGACAAAAAGCTGCATAGATAACTGAATGATAGGTAAGCAAAAACAATGTTAATTCCTCCGGTGGTAAACTCCAAGCCTCAACGTTCCACTGTCCTGCAGGCTCTAAAGCAGAGGTACTCAACCCCTGATCCCCAGTCCCACTGTCCAGCAGCATTTAAAGGTTTCCTTGTTTCAACATACCTGATTCTGATTAAATTGATCAATTCAAACGCTACACAAGCCTACCAATTGTGGATTGATAAATAAGGTGTGTTGAAGCAGGAAACCCTCTAAAATCTGCAGGACAATAGCCCTTGAGGCCTTGAGTTGTCCATCCTGGACATTTTACTTTCACTTATCTTCATGTATCTATCTTTATGTTTTCAGTCCAATCTTGAGGTATAGAGAAACAATTAAAAGATGCAATACATTTTTACTGAAGAGCACATTTGAGGCTTCTGACTCAACTTTAAGTAGGAGTTTGGTAATAAAATAGTAACAAACAATAATAAGACATTTATTTCAAATTAATCCTTATATGGCAGCATGTAGCAAGAAAGAGGAATGGTTGGAATGATATGTTCACTATTGACTCCTGATTATGAGCAAGTCAGATTTTCCAGAATGACTGTTTTGGTCATTATTTATATTAATTAGCTGTTTCTGCACCTATATACACGTAAATCTGCCATTTGAGGACCTCAAAGACGGAACTAAATGCAATCATCTTTTTAATGCATAATTTACAAGTACTCACTTGTAAAACTGGTACTTCGTGTCTTCACGGTGTTTATAAGGAAGTTAGGTTTGACTTTTACTAATCACTTAAACATTGCTGCAGACCAAATGTACTCTATCAACGATAGTAGCAACAAAAGCCAAAAGTGAGGACATCTTTATGTTTATGTTTATGCATTTAGCAGACGCTTTTTGCACGGCAATTCGCTCTGCTACACGGCAAAAAATGTTGTGATGTGGTTTGAGTAACAGTGACATTTAGTTGTGTCTGGGAAGGCAAGCTCACCAAAAGCAAACATAAGACTTATTCTGCAAACATGTTGTTAGACACGAACGAAGTTTGTACACACCCAGTGTGTACTACCTCAACAGCAGCAAAGGATAAACGTGGTGACAGAAAAAGGTTAATGAAAAACTTCCATCCACTTTCAATACCAACTTAACAGAAATTAAAGATTGTATGGGCTGCTGTAGCCTATCCTACTGGCCATTCAAATTCAATTAAAAATACTTTATTAATCCCAGACGGAAATTAAATGGTGATGTTACTCATTTAGTTAAGCAGTTATCATAGATGGGGAATACTGGGCAGGAAATATCTTCTGTAGCAGTCTGTTTTACAACCAATCTGAAGGAGCCACTGACTGAAGAGACTGTTTTCTTACTACAGTCTTATGAAGAGGATAGTCAGGGCTGTCTTTAATGTGCTTGCCAGTGGTGGGCCTTCTCTGCTGGCCTAAGAAAATATCTGAATTACAGACTGATGTTACTTATATTTTGTCTATGAATACTTATTAAATATCTCTAAATGGTCTGTCCGCTTCCTTTCATAGCTTTTCCCCTGGTTGTCCTGCTTCCAGACATGCATTTTCATATAAAAGCATTTAACCAATTACAATCATTTGTTGCTAGGCAGGGTCAAAGTCAAAGATGTCTGCTTGGAGGTCTTCATAATCTGTTCTGCAGGCCCCCCCAACAGAAAATACGTGGCGATTAAACTGTTGATTTAACCAATCAGATTTTAAGTTGGTGACTCCAGGGCCTTCTAGAAGACCTAAGGCAACGTCACCGTATTCACAACCGTTGATTGGATAGTAAGACAGCGTACCAGCCAAAGCTAGCAAACTAACCCAAATATAGTTGTGTTGGCCATTTTCAAGACGGACTTTTCAAGAAAAGTAAGTGAGTGAAATGTTGCTTTTTTCCTAAATAATATTGCGAGTTTAAGAAGATATTATTGCTGTTTGTTTTTTTTGGGGGGGGGGGGTCGCACCCCCTGATAGGCAGGTATCGGTATCGGCCGGTCTCTGTATCGGATCGGAAGTGCAAATACAATATCGGTATCGGATCGGAATTTCAAAAAGCATCCCTACTGAATTTCTACATAATAAGATAATTTCTATAACCATAAAATAGTGATTGAGGGGTGAATTGATTCAGACGGAGCACTACTGAAGGCCTAGGTGTGAAATGCACGGTCTGCCACTGTTGTTTGCAGGACCCTTCTTTGCATCATCATCTCCAGAGGTTTCACAGTCGTCCCCAAAACAGAACCAGCCCTCCTGATCATTTTAGTCTTTTTAGGTCTTTTAGAGGTATGCACTAGATAGGTTTCAAGTCCATTACAGATTCACCTGGCAGCTAATGAGGCAAACCATGCATGCCCATGGTTCATTTAGAGTAATTAATATAACATGCCATTTTTTAATGGTGAAAGGAATCTCGCATATCTGGAGGGAAAGACCACAGTTAGTTTTCAAACCAGGCACTTGATTGCTGAGAAGAAATGGTAAAAACCAGGGCAATGTGGCATGCCACGGTATGTAATTTACCAGAGATATATATCTTTCATCAAATACTTCTGCTTCCATGTGATTCTTTGTACCTTGGTAATTCCAAGTGCAGCAATGTTCTGGCTGTAGGAGGTGGTGCCATTTCCAGTTCCCCACAGTGCTGCCAGGATGCAGCCTATTCCCTCCACTGCGATTCCTCTGTTGATGGCATGTGTTGGTGGAGGAGGAGCACCAGACAATCGAGCACAGGCATAGTAGTCGCCAATCGATTCCATGGTTGATGCCAAGACGCCTGCCATCATACCCAACACTGAGGACAAACTTACTGTGGGTAAACCCCATTGGCCTGTTGAGAGAGCACAGTGCAGGTATGTTTTTCTTTTTGATAAAACCTAAATAAAATCTTTTGTTCAGATGGAATTTCCATATCCATCCCAACGCCATTGCTCATTCCCAACGGGGTTGTAGGGTGCTCAACCTAACCCAGCAAACAATGGGAGAGAGGGAAGGTATACCATGGACAGTTTGCCAGTCCATTACAGGGAAACACTGACACAAACAACCATACACAGTCACATTCAATCCAATTTGGAGTGTCAAATGACACTCCGAAGCACCCGGAGAGCTCACATACAGATACAGGGAAGATATAAGAACTCCACACAGAAAGCTCCCTGTCCCCCAGGGACTCAAACTGGGAACATCTTGCAGTGAGGTGACAGAGCTAACCACCATACCATAGTGCCACCCACTTGACATAAATAATACATTTTATTTTTAGAACTGTAAGAAATGATGACACTTAACCCATCCCAGCAGTCTCAGCAATATGATCTTAATAAAAAAGGTTAATCTTAGGCAATGCATTTTTTTAAAATAAGAAGTTCAAAAGGATCCATATCTGATTTATTGACTGACAAAGAAACATTTATTTATTTTCATCCACAGATGGCATTCTGGAGGAGGAAAAAATAATCTGTTGGTTAAGGCACAAAAACATTGAATGAAACATGAATAATTGTTTATGCATAAATTGTTTCATGATGTAGTTAAAAAGTCCATATCAGTGTGAGTGGGCTTGGAGCCAATACAAACTTGTTTTTGTCATAAGTTTTGTTAATCATGGGCCTGGCATGGGAAATATTATGAAGAACTGGGTTGCATTTCTATACTTTAAAAAAATCATTTTTTTGTAAAAGCCTTCACACTACTGTATTGTACTGTACTGTACCCCATGTTTAAAGTTCTAAAGCTGAGCTACATCATTTCCAAAAACCATAGAACTTGTCTTCCAACATGGCTGATTAACCCTAACACAGCATCTGTTTGGATTGAATAGATTGTTTCCAGCTGAAACACATTAATCACTGCTGTACTTTTTAGATGGTAGACTCTACCTATTTGCTTAGTGAAATCCAGGTGGTGGCATTTTCTCTTGGCCATGCAATGAAAAAACACAAGCTGGGTGGATCAGTTAAACTATAATTACCCAGCACAAACGTGATGAAAAACCTTTAATCCTCAGTCAAGCACATCTCATTCACATTCCTTAACCACCCTAAATGGTTTTCACCTGCAAGTTTTGAAGTAAACCTTTTAAACTTTAAAATAAAAAACAGCACTGTTCAAAATATGATTACAGTATTTGTTTTGTCTTTGAAAACATATTTTTCGTACATGAATTAAAGAAAATTACCATTTCATATTCCAGGGTGAAAGGCACTTTTAGGTTTTCATATACATTAGTGCATAGAAGGGCGGCACAGTTAGGGTTGCAGTTAGCAAAATTGCCTCACGGTAAGAGTCCCCTGGGGTGGTTACCCCAGGGGACATGAACCCAGAACCCTCTCCCTGTGTCTGTGTGGTTTTTTGGGGGGTTTTTGGCTTCTTCCCACAGTTGTTGTCCGTTTTGATGTGTCTCTGTGTGGCCCTACGATGGGCTGGCGGACTGTCCGGGTCGTGCCCGGCCTCTCGCCCATTGACTGCTGGGACAGAGTCCAGTCCCCCTGCGACCCCATTTGGGAGTAAGCAGTTCAGAAAATGGATGGATAGTGTGTAGAATATTCTCCTCTTTTGGAAATAACAACCAATTGTTGTTCCAATCTTCTCAGTCACTCAGTAATTGAGTGACTGAGATGAGGCATAAGAGATAACATGACTCTGGGTGAGTCATTCATTTAGTCCTTAAAATGGACAAAGTTATTATCTTAGGGGATTTTAAAATTCATATGGCTGACAGCCTCAGTACTGCATTTATCTCTGTTAAATTCCGTTGGCTTCTCTCAGAGTGTTCACAAACCGACTTACAGTTTTAACCACACCCTTGACCTTCTTCTGGTGTACATTTCATAGTGTTCACACAGAATCCGTCTTTATCTGACCACTGTTTGCTAACTTTTGAGCTTTTACTGCTGAATTACCTTCCATTGGGCAAAAATGTCTACTCAAGATGCCTTATAGTGTCTGATAGCTATAGCTACATTTAAGGATTCGATTCCATCAGCTGATGCAATGATGCTGAAAAAGGAGTCCATGCATTTGTCACTTCTAGGCTGGATTACTGGAATCTCTTATTATCAGGCTCTTCAAGAACCCATTAAAACTATTCAGCTGATCCAGAATACTGCAGCACGTGTTCTGACAGGAACCAGTAAAAGAGATCATATGTCTCTTGGCTTCTCTGCATTGGCTTCCTGTACAATCCAGTATATATTTTTAAATCCTTCTTCGTACATACAAAGCTCTTCATGGTCAGGCACCATCTTATCTTAAAGAGCCCCACCAGAGCACTGCACCCCCAGAATGCATGGTTATTTGTGATTCCAAGAGTCTTCAAATGCAGAATGGAGGCCAGAGCGTTCAGCTATTAGAGTCCTCTCCTCTGGAACGAGGCTCGGGTTTGGGTCCGGGAGGATAGAGTTTATAGTTAGGGTGAGTCCACCCTTAGTTATGTGGCCATAGGCCTAGACGGCCGGGGGATTTCACATGATGCACTGAGCTCCCCTCCTTTCTCTCTCCCTCTCAGTGCAACCTCATTCCATTAATGCATGTTACTAAGTGGACTTTTTCCCTTTCCCATAGTCGTGTGCTTTATCGTCCCTCTCCACTCTCCTCCTATCACTTTCTGCAGGTGTTCGTTGGGCTGTGGAGTCTGGATCTGTGGTTGGGATTCTCCTCCTATCACTCCCTGCCGGTGTTCTTGGAGCTGTGGAAGCTGGATCTGTGGTTGAGAGTCCCCTGTGTTCCTACTCTGCTACACTTACAGCCACTGTTCATAGTCTTATTGCCAGTATTACTGGTATCATTACCATTACTATCAATATCTTTATAATTTTTTATCCGGTCTATTTGTAACTGTGTAAGCTGCCTCCCTCTGTCCTTCTCTCTCTCTCTCTCTCTCTCTCTCTCTCTCTCTCTCTCTCTCTCTCTCTCTCTTTCTCTCACGTTCTCTTTCTCTCACCCCCAACCAGCCAAGACAGATGGCCACCCACTCTGAGCCATGGTTCTGCTCGAGGTTTCTGCCACTTAAGAGGAAGTTTTTCCTTGCCTGTGTCGCCTAGTGTTAGCTTTTGGTGGGAATTGTTGGGCCTCAGTAAATAACTCAGAGTTGGGTCTGACCTGCTTTGTTTGGAAAGCGCTGTAAGATAACTCTTGTTGTGATTACACAACAACAGTGTAACAGCACAATATAAATAAAATTTAATTTAATTTAATTCATTAGGGATGGCTCAGGTGACTCTACAACATCCCATAGTTATAGTGGTATGGGTTAAAACTGCTATAGGAGCTACCATTATGCCCCTTACCCTATTATGTTCTACTGGTAAACTACAGGGGTAGGCAACTCCAGGCCTTAAAGGCTGCTGTTAGGCCTGGAGTTGCCCACCCCCGATTAAGGGTTTCCCTATCAAAAAATACCCAGATAGGTCTGTCTTCACCATGTGGTATACAAAATATGATTTGTCTTTAACAGTATCAAAAGTAGATCCTTTAAATGAAAACCTAATAATAAGCACCAACCAGGCAAACTTAGCAAAAGTAATAAAAAAGGGATACTTTTTGAGTGGCAATACAATATATTAAAAACACTGGTTCTAAAGCGTGTGTTCTAAAGCTTAAAACCCCTGAGACACAATCGAACCTAGCAGCGGCTGGACACAAACTAACTATATGAAAGCATACACACCACAAAATGTGATCAAATTGGAGAGCATAATATGGCAACAGCAGCAAGTGGCTAATACATCCCTCACAGCCCCACTCAGAACAGGTACATTCAAACAACTGCAGGGGCAAATGGCTACACCCTGGCATTCATTCCTCACCACCAGCAATCCAGCTGTTCCACGTGGGAACCACGCCGTCGTAGTAAAGGCCTAAAGTGCATAGAGACAGCGTTCACTCAGCAAGAACATACTACAGAACACCTCCAATAGAGCATTTAGCAACCAACCACACAACACTTTGGAGACTGAACCAAGCCCATGCAGCATTACAAATAGAAAGCAGAGGGAGGGGGAGGAGGGCAAGGGTGCATTCATGGGCCCACTATGGGTAGAAAATTATAACCACCAAAGCACTACTAAACTAATAGTCCACCCGATTACGTATAAATGTACAATTTCAAAAACATCATTACACAGTGAAACCTTTTATATACAGGCAATTTTGAACAAGTCAGAACGCAACGTGTTGGACTTGGTATAATATTATGTAATAGCAAGTCCAATAGCAATATATATTTTATTAGTTTCACTGTCATAACATTTTCAGTTGTATAGTTTGGGACTGACATTTGGCTCAGGTGTGGATTACAGGGTCCAGCTAACATGTGCAAATAATCAAAAAGTCATCAAGCCATGTTTTAGAAATTGGAAAACTGTCAGCAGGAACTGCAAGAGAGTTTTGATATAGGTTCTTTGAAACCATAGATTCTTCTCAACCTCCAAATACTGTATGACTTGTTGCCAGCCAAAGTCAACTCTCTCCCCTCTGGTCTCTAGTCCAAAAACAATTTCAAAAGTTTGTAGTTAAATAAATCTATCTCCATTAGCAAATTGAAGACTGTCGCTTTTTCTTTACAGCAGAGAGAAGTAGCACGACCCAATGCTAAGATACAGAATTACCTTGGTTTTTACTCTTTTGTAATGTTTGTCCAAGACTAAAATAAGATGAGACCAGCAGATATAAATGTGTGGTAGAACAGGAGCAGGAATTTGTTCATTCAGCACATTTAAGTGTGAAAACTTTGGGACTGGCATGAGTTATAATGTCATCCACAAAGCCGAAACATTTCCTTTTCTTGGTTTGAGCATTCTTTCATACACCATCTGGCCTTACTGCTTTGCTGAGACACAGCCTTATCAGCTCTCCACTTGGTCAGCAGTGGTACAGATGGTGCAGAGGAGGGATCACCCCTGCAATAACTCCACAGACAAAGGGTATTTCTGTTGATGACTATGGTCTGTGGAGACATCTGGGGTGGGTTGGGGCATATAGTATATTCCCGAACTATAGGGAAAGGGTATGCTTGTCTCTTATTGTGGAGTTATGCGATGTTAAGTTATAGCCTCTTCCTGAGGAAGATCCTGCAGCACACCTTGTGTTCCAGTCAATGGTATCAAGGCAGTCTCCTATGCCTCTGAACACCTTTTCCTAATTAAATGTGTGATGATCAGTTGCCTCTGCACAACTGGTTTATAATCCAGTAGTCGCAGGTTCAGCCATGGATGTGGCAGTGTGTGCATCACACATATTGACATACATAAGATCAATAGGTCCAATTTTCTATTGTGAGACAACATTTTCAGTGTTGCCAGTCAGTCATCCATGGATCCATTTTCGTTACCACTTATTCGTGACCTCGAATTCGTGACCTGGAGCACTGGAGACCTGGAGCCTATCCCAGTGGTCAATGGGCGAGAGGCAGGGTACACCCTGGACAGTTTACCAGTCCATCGCAGAGCCACACACAAGTCATACAAGGACAAACCATCATGCACACTCGCATTCACTCCTAAGGGCAATTTGGAATGTCCAATCAACCTAACATGTAGGTTTTTGGACTGTGGGAGGAAGCCGGAGAAACCGGAGAGAACCCACGCAGACACAGGGAGAACATGCAGACTCCACCCAGAAATGTCCTGGGTCACCCGGAACTCGAACCCAGAACCTTCTCGCTGTGAGGCGATGGTGCTAACCACTACACAGCCATGCCGCCCATGCCAGTCAGTCATGTAACAATTAAACATGGTAGTTAGGTCATCATTTTTAACATTACCGTATCTTGCATTGACCATGAAAACTAAAATACAATTTCTCTAGATGCTTTGCTATCCACTTAGGTTTAGCTTTCCAACCTGAGTAGATCCACTACAATTCCTTTAGTTTCTTTGTGTTCACAGTGTAAGCACTGCCTCCCTTGAGGCAATTTTTTGGTGAAGGGGAAAACAGAATATTAAATCAAAACAACTAATGTAGAATAAAGATGAAGCGATTGCAATGCTTTTTCTGATGATTTACATCATAAATTGGTAGTAAATAATAAATGTACTCACCTGGGTAGGGTACATGGAACCATGGCGAGTTTGTTACAGCCTCCAAGCTTATGTCAGTTCTAGCTGAGAAGCCATACTGATCAGATTTTGAAGGTAGGACGTCGAAGATAGTCAGTAAGAAGCAGACCAGCCAGCCACCACACATCCCGAACAAAGCCTGGAATGTGTACACAAAAACCTGATGTCTTAGAACCACTTGACTCAAACTAAATCACTTCTAAAACAATTAGAAGGAACCGTTTAGAGCCTGTTGGGGTTCTCTTTTCTTGTAGAAACACTGAGGATATCAAATAACATAAAACTTACTCACATGATCAGTCTCTTACTGAATACAATTCTAACATTTTCTGTCAATTAAGGAACATAAAAAGACAAAAACCACAGCTGAAGATAAGAATAATATGAATAATATTTTCCTGTAAACAAACTCCTACTTCTTTCATCAGCTTGAATGTTGGATCATTTATTGGCATCATAATCCTACTCTCATTCTCAATATTGATTTATACTCACATATGAGCATGTATAGGTAAAGGAAAAATGTCACACCTTATCATTTAAGTGCAAATAACATGAAGCACCATATGGCTACTAAATGATTAATAGGATAGGATTTAGAAAAATCTGCACCTTTTTGCTATTATATATATATATATATATATATATACACATATATACACATATGTAAGCAGTCTGATTATTTGATCCTATGTCTGGTGTGATTCTGTCACATAATAAGGAAAAGGTTTTATGGGTTTTAGGATATAAACTGATGAAAGGTTAATGATACTCGCTCTTATAGCACCAAGGGACAACTGGGACACTTGAATGTCTTGCTTCGCTAGCTTTCACAACCATTCAGCAGTAATTTGTGGGGTTCCCATGAATAGTTCCAGTATGTAGGCTTAAATTCAAACTAACTAATCCTTTCTTCATGTGGAGAACTTCGTTCAGTTTTTTTTCACTCTCTTTTAAGTCAGCAGGTTGTTAACATGAAAATACTTAGTTTGAATTCTGTTTGTAATAGGTTTGAATATAGACTATAGCTTATTTATTGATTGAGCTGATCACCATTTTAATTGACCTCAAAGACTTCAGTTTGGTCTTTTATCCCATCACTGATTTATATTGTTGGACATTGATAATGATATTGTTGAGTACCCAGAGTTTTTAAGTAAAAAGATCAATGAAAGAACGTCAGAGGAAGAATTAATTCCCTAAAGAACTAGATACTTGTTTGTATTAATGATAGATTCTCATTCTAAATTCACAAGATACAAAAGTGTTTAATTTAATATTTTTTTGTGAAAATTACCACCAAGACTCTCCTTGTCATTTTAAGATAAAAATACATTTTTGGTACATCTTTCTGCTTCACTGAAGCAAAAAGAGCATTTCTGCCTAGGTGCTAATGAGGACATTTTCACCTTTAGTAGATTAGTAAATCACATGTGATCAATCTTGTAGGACATATCCATTTAGTTGATGAAATAATGCTACTTTTAACTTTTAGGAAAATCACAACAGTGCTCTTGCATAATGATCGTGTTTTTCTTTTTTATCCTTTAATGTATCTTACTTTTTTCTCAATATGTCTGAGGTCCTTTGTTGCCAAGTACTTACTCAGTATATGGATCTTACTTATTTCATCTTGAGTCCTTGTGAGTCCAAGCAACGGAACTATTTATTTGACTCAGTATTTATACTAAAACAGAAATTGTTTAAAGCTGCCATCAGGATGTTATTTCTTGTACAAGCTGTTCAACACATGTCGACAATATGCAATAAACATATTTTCATTATGTTACATATCAAATCATAATCAGTGTACAGTTAGTATATGATTTTAGGTAATAGAGTGAAAACATTTATGGAAAAGTAATGAAAATCAAAGTTTTAAATCTGAACATAAGAAATACTTTAATCTCTTCAGAATAAAAAAATTCTCAATATGCGCTGTATAATTATGTCCCATCAAAAATCTGACTGAGTTGCTAGGATTGATGATCCCTTGCAATTATATATTTCCATCCATCCAGTCTGCCAGTCCATTGTAGGGCCTAATTATATATATTTAACCAGCTAAACAAGAAAAGCTCATTAGAATTGACTTTAACCTAAAACTACTAGTTTATCACACTCACAACAGGCTTTGTACAGATTTAGCTTGACAGGTTTGAATTATTTCTTATTTGTATTCTGATCTGTTCTTCCAGTCAATACTGAGACCATGTGACCATAAATGAGGTGTGAAGAAAATTGCTGTAATGTAATGTCAAATATAACCTGGCAACAGTGTGGCTGCCCTATGTTTCACTAATGAGATGATATTGTCAGTGTTTTTAAGATTCAGTGTTTTATTGGACAGCAGTCTCTTGAAGAGACTTTGGTGAGTTGATCCTTACAGTAATTAACACCTTTGCTGCCTCCACCACTTAGTCTGACACCTATACACACTTAGCTCTCTAAATTGTTTTCCGTCTCACATTAACTTACTTCCACATAAGTGAGGTTCCCTCCAATATATCCTTAGTCTGTAGATTTATTTGCATTAAACTAAGATTTCAATAAAAATCAGCAAAGTAGATTTAGCTGATAACCGCTGTTTGACCTGCACCTGCTTTTCAAAGTTGTTAAGACAACAAATGACGAGTATTTGAAATCCCAAACACAATTGGGTAATTTTTTTGCAAGGCGGCAACGTTGTGAAAAAGATCATGAAAGAAGACGTACGAAACTGAAGAAACCCTGATCTTGGGGACTTACAGAGAATAGCTTGAAAAGAGGATACTGGAAAACCTTCCACTTCTTATCCTTATAAGCGATCATTGGAACATCAACTTTGCTGAGATATTGGGAGAAGAGAAGGATCAGGCAGACTGTGCTGTAGAAAAAAACAAGATGGTACAAAATGTGTCATGTTCTTTTCCTACCAGGTACATATACTACCAATCCACAGGTACTAAGTATGATTTTAACAGTCTTGATTTTTTATTTTGTTATTGTCATAGTTTGTTGATTGGCGTCTTATTTTATTTTTTGTCTATTTGAACTTTAGTTTCTGGTTCCATTTCCACACATTTAAAACTTTTCACCTGATTCTCTGCTCCACACTCAGTATCAATAGTCCTTGTTTTTTTATGGTTTTGTCATTGTCTTCCAGATCATTTTCTAATCTGTTAACAGCTTCCTATTTCTTCCCTGTTTATTTTGCATTCAGTTTGTTTTCACATTTTAGTTTTAGGTTTTCTGGCTCTGCTTCTTTTTTAATTGGTTTTCAACACACCTCAAGTTATTATTGGACTCCAGCTTGCCTCTTTATGTATCTGCCAAAATGTTACTAATCACATTCTTGCAAGCTGTATTTTCAGAAGATGTGGGCAGCATTGCGCCATGTCTTTCAAAAGAGTATGTTTACTGCTACTATAACACTCCATACTTACAACTTTTTTTAATTCAGCTTTATTGTTTACCATTCACATACCTTAAAAAAATACTGTTAATTTACTTAAGGTGAAGCTCATTCGCACAGTTACTTTTACAGTTGGAGGGATATCAGAACTATTGAAAGAATGGCAATTTGCACAGTATGCATGCCCACAATACAATACAGGAAATGTTATAGGTGCATAATGGGAAAAGTATGTTGAAAGTAACCATTAGAAAACAAAATAATCAGTCCCAGCTGTTGAATGGTATTTCACACTGTCTGTGATAAATCTCATGCTGTGCTGGAAAATAATGAACACTTTAACTGGTGTTAAAGAAATAATCAAGAACTTATCTTATGTTACAGAAATCATATATTTTCCTAGTTTAAGTGATTTCCAAATAAGAAAAAGTCACACTCAAATTCAATTTAAACATTGACTCTCTCGCTTCGAAATTGATTCCTGCTGAAATTTATATAAACCCATGACAGTATGAGCAGCACAAATCTATCAGTCAGCATTGCCATGGTTGACTATTTAGAATATTTTTTTTAAATGCAGGTTTTCATAATGTACAACAAACCAATAATCCAGATTTTGTTCAGGTCAGGATTACAAAAATAACTATGACAATTTGTTTTTTTCTCTTTCTCTCAGCAATGTGTACTCGTCAAAAACAATGTTTTCAAAGGCCTCTACCATTTGTAAAATATTGCTAATTGGTTTACTTTAATAACAGTTTATAATTGTTTTTGTTCTGTTCCAAAACAGTCCTAGAAATGAGAAAAAACAAAAACAAAATGGCATGCCTTTTCAAAAACTTTTGCATGGTGTTAATTGGCAGACAAAAGTGTTGCTTTATTGTCAATGGTTGAACTACAGCTCCTCAATTGATCGGTAAACAAATCATGGGACTGATTTACACTGGGGACTCGTTTAAAAAATAAATAGATGAAAGCATAAATTAGCGGGTAAATTTGTCATGGCTGGAGTGGAAAATGAAAAAGTTTACAGTCCAAACAACACAACATGGAGACATTTGAATTAACACGAGTAAATTCAACTTGAATAATCCTATTTACTGATAAATCCACCTTTGAAATTTTTGTTTACAGAATTTTTGAAAAGCGAGGAGAAGAATAAAGGGTATTGACATGCTAGTTTTCCACATAGGAGCATGGAAGAGGAAGTCTGGTCCTTGGAATTCTCTACCAATTACAGTTTGTAAACTATCTAAAGCACAAGGTCTGCTTAAACAGCAACACATTAAAAGGATTAGGCAGCAACATGCCATCCCAGCTGATTTGTTATAAATGTGGTCATATACTATTTATGTAACTGACAACGGCCTAAAAATATATTTAATTTGAAAACATTACTGTGAGTGATGAATTTGTTAAACTAACCTGCTATCAAGATTTTGGCTGAGCCACTGAGTGAAGAAAACAGCTTACAAGAGCATCCAAATCATAAGCTGAGAGTTGAATTACAATGTCTACCTACTCCTAGGAGCTGGTCTTCAGGCTACGGGATATCTTATACTGAGAGTCATGCAAGAATGGAGTGGGTGATGGGATGAAACATAGCTGTTGAGATTGATATGATGAAACTAGTTTTAAATCAGGATGTATAGATGTGCTTAACCTTTTAGAAATCGCAAGAATTAAAAAAAAAAATGCTCCCTAACATCCGAGCTTCAATACAGAGACTGACAGCAACAATTGGCAGAAAAAAGTATAAAGTCATATCAGCATGAAAGTAAGATTTATTTTCCTTTTACTTTGATTTCAAGAGGAAAAGGTATACGATAGTGCTCATGAAAAAGCGTTAACGGCATTTGTATGTGCACAGTGGTAACAAATAAAAACTAAAGAAGTTGATGGACTGCTTTAGATTGGCTACTCAGTAGTCTGTTGTACTATAAACCCCAGATCAGTCATTGGTAAAATACTTTAGTAGATAGTAAAGGGATAAATAATATAAATGAAGACAAACACTCACAGAGCAGCTATTCCCCAATGACCTCCACATTTCTTTCCAGCTTCAATGAACAGAGACAGGCCAATAAGGTTGATAGTAGGAGCAATAGCCAGTGGCCCAATGAATTTCAGAACAAGACCCACCAGCCCAGAGAAGCCCAGGGTAATCTGAAGGAGGGAAGACACCAATATGGCCCCCTGGATCTGTAAAAAAGACAGTTAGAAAGGAATTAATTATAACTTGACACCTTAGGACTCAGCTTTCGGTTGCATTAAGTGAGATACAATATTATTCTTCCCAGTAACTAAATCTAAGTCTGAGCTTCTTTACTTAAAACAGGGAGTAAAATATCAATGTTCTGCAGCAGTCTGCTGTTTGGTAGCCGAGCAACATCCTAGCTACTTGAAACACTTAACCATTTGCAAACTTACCCCTGTCCCACTGTCAGCTAGCAAAACAAGGCATAACGAAGCAACAGATCTATAATTGACTTTTTCCATGCACAACAACATTCAAGATTCATGTAGATTGGAGAACTGAATCCTGAAATGCTACTGGCAGATCTTATGGAGAATCAATAAATTTACGTCAGCTCAATACTTTGCCTATATCATATACTGTGTGTTGTGTTATCTTAACGTCATGAAATGTTTTAGGTACACTTCTCATATACTTTTGTTTTATGTACATATATTATGTATATTTTATGTTTCACACAAAACTCTTTTCCGTATTTTTTGTATATAAAATGTCTACTAATTAGTTTAACAGATCAACTCTTGATTATTTGCTTGGCACATGCAAACATTTTACTCACCTCACGCATTCGTGACATCCAGACCTCATCAGAGTCATCCATTGGGGAAATGGTACCATTCTGCAGCTGCATGGACTGCATCACAGGAGCATTTGGGCCTGGACACTGCCACTTTGGCAGGGCAAGGATGGCCAGAGTTGGAGTGATGAAACTAAAGGTCCCACCCTGGAGGATTGGTAACCTGTAAGTCAGTAAGGGATCAATCAAATCAGTCCAAGTCAAATATGAATTGGTAGAACTGGAATTTATCCCTCATTAATGATGATGTGAATTCTTCAAAGAAAATTTTGGCAAAGAATTAAAGCTGTTTAATTAAAGCTTATTATTATCCTCATTAAACTTGCGTAAAAAAGAAAAGCTGGTCAAAGTTGCTCTAAGAAAAATATTAACAGATTTGCGTTCATACCCACCACGTTGAAATTGACACTGTGGTTGTAGATATTTGATTAAGCTCTAATTCAAGCTAAGATGGATTAATAGTGCCAATGTTGCTTTGCACACAAAATGTGAGCCGTGCATGTAAATTACATAATCATTCATCTCTGTTGTTCCTGATGCAGCAATCATAAACTGTGCTTGAATTTCTAGGATCTATTCAATAAAAGTAAAGATCAAAAGGCCCATCAATCAATGTCAAAGTGTTTTCTTGGGTCCTGTATTTGACCTCAAAGCCTTCTGCCAAAAATGTAGGTGGAGACCTCAAACAAATGTTGCATAGCAAAGACAGGTGTGTACTTTGTATACTGAATGGGTGTGGACTTTCCCACAGTAGGAAATAAAAAACATAGGGTTTACAGATCAGTGCTTACATTTCCACACAGTGATCCAAGCGATAAAACAGCTACCACATATTTTACATCATTACAACAAATGTAATGGCACAACTTGAGTTCTGTGAGCCGTCCTACATAGAGCAATCAGAAGTTATTCCAAAGGAGAAAGTTTTGCACTAAATGTTAGCATGACAAAGAATCCTGCTGCAAACTTATTCACACAGGATGTAAGACGAGAGTGACATATTTCTAATGAATCCATGGCAAATTTAAGTATAGTTACTTCCTGATATCAAGCATAAGTGCAAAATTGAAAAGGCTGACATTCTCAAACACAAAGGAAAGAAAGTGGATGGAGAGATTCCTTCAGTTTTCATCTCCTGTTCATTAAGACAAAACAAAACAAAACAAAACAAAAAAAAAAATGGGATGAAAGCCAAACCAGAAACACAAACACACCCTCTCAGTATCAAGTAGCATTCCATTAAGAATGAGAATGCCAAGGAAGTTAGGCGCTCAAAATACCTGAGAAGTCAATACATGTATGAAATTCTTTCTAGTGTACTAGATAGCGTGTGTGGGTAAACTCTGTGTGGACAAGTGATTTCCAGTTCAGATCAAAAGTGTGTTACCTGGTTCCAACAGCTGTTTGCAGGAGTGTGCATAAACCCGAAACAAAGAAGATTGTAGAAATTAGTTGACTTTTGGCAGCATTATTGTCTTTTATGCAAAGTGGCTCAGCAAGGATCAATGGGACTGCAATGATGCCACCGAATGCAAGGATGTAATGCTGTGGAGAAAAGACAAAAGGAAAACGTGAAGAGTTGAAAACAGTATAGTGCAATGAGACATTCAATAACATATTTTTTTTGTTTTTTATTCATATTTATATTAATTATGATTATTTGAAACTGTTGTATTTTAGCAAAGGATAACTTGCCCTATTTGCAACGCATTAAAAAGAAGGCCTAATGGGAATTTGAGTAATTTTCATTGACTGATTTTTATTGAAATTGTAGAAGTCAAAATAGACATTTTCTACTAAAACAACAACTCCAGAGGCTCTTCAAAGTTTTCATACCGTATATATCATGAATTAATTAATCATGCAATGGTTTGAAAATCATTTAATATTATTCATAGTAAAATACAAATAAAATACAATTGCCATGCCATTGAACATTCAGAAATAATTTTCAGTTGACAGTGTTCATACTCTAATACAGAAGCCATATTTGAATAGACCACAAAAGCTATTGTTTCCACAGGACCTTTTCAAAGTGGACATTCAAGAAATGAAAGAATATATGTTGAAAGACGTGTTGTGCTCTCAAATGAGGACAAGATGGATCATCAAGAAGCTTATAATCAGCACTTAATTCAAAGGGGCATTTTACAGGTATGGGCAGGCCGAGCAGAACACAGCTTCAGCGGTGTTTGACAGAAACATCAGACATGGGAGGACTTAGGAGAGGATGTCGAATGCGCATTCGGACGGCTTCAAAGAGGTTCTGGTCCACCATGAAGCAGCTCAGGAGGGGGAAGCAGCTCCCATCAACACTATGTATAGTGCGGCTGGGCAGATCCTGACCTGAACTTTTGGGTTATCCTATCACTGGGGGTGAGGTCACTGATCCAGCCAAAGTTCCTTCAGGCTCTGGATGCTGTGCGGCTGTCTTTGCTGAGACGCCTCTGCAGCTTGCATGGACGGGAATAGAAAGGGATGTTGCCCCTGGACTGGCAAACTGGGATGGAGGTCCCAGGGGGACAAGAGGTTGTGTTCCAACTACATTAGAACCTCTATATACGAAATTATGTAACATACTCTGTATGTTAAAATGTTCATATGTTGGTTCAAATATTCCCATGAGAATACACTGTAGTTTGTATAATTCGTTCCACAGCTCAAAAACCTACATTAACGCCTTAATACTAATACTTAATACTGCAGATAATTACACATAACAATAGAAAAAATGCAATCTATAAGAGAGATGTAAAAAGAAATACTTTTTTTTTTAATTGATGAAAGGGGGTTTTTATTGGCACTTATTGGCTGATGAAGATCTAGGCTTGGCAATGCAGGAGACGGAGAAGACGGTCAGTGTGGAGGAAGAGGTGGTGACTGAGATAGAGTATGTACCGTAACTTACTCCAACTTTCACTACGTGAACTTTAAACTAACTGATCTTATTTATGTTTATTTCATTTTTAGATTTTATTGATTTATTTCCTATGACTTTGACATCATAGGATGTTGGAAATGTACTTTGTGTGTCAAGTCAAATATTTCATCAAATTTCACTTTGGATGTTGGAAAATTCGTATGTTTAGGCAATCATAAGTAGAGGGTTCTACTATATAGGGGAACCACACTTCTCAGCTTCCCTGGTAAGATATATTATCTATTCAGGGGTCCTGGAGCGGTGGGTCGATTGGATGGTTGAATCTTGACTGGAGGAGTAGCAGTGCAGGTTTTGTCCTAGTCATGGAAGAGTGAACGAACTCTACATTATCTTCAGGGTCCTGGATGGAGCATGGAAATTTGCCAAACCAGTCTACGTGTGTATTGTGGACTTTGAGAAAGTGTTCGAGTGCTCCCCTGGGACTCCTGTGTGGGGGTGCTCAAGGATTACAGAGTACCGGACCCACTTGTTCGAGCTGCCTGCTCCCTCTATTACCGGTGCCACAGTTTGGTTCACATTTATGACAGCAAGTCAGATTTGTTACCAGTGCAGGTGCTCCACCTAGCCTGTCTTTTGTCAATGACTCTGTTCATGAGTTTTATGGACAGCATTTCTAAGTACAGCCGAGACAATGAGGGGATACGGTTTGGTGGCCTAAAGATTGGATTTCTGCTTTTTACAGATGATTAATTAAGCTGGTATATCCATTCGCAGCCAAGTGTGAAGCGGTTGGGATGACAATTAGCACCTCCAAACTTGAGACAATGGTCCTCAAAAATGGTGGAGTTTCCTCTTCAGGTCAGGAATGAGGTCCTGCCCCAGGTGGAGGGAATTCAAGTATCTTTGAGTCTTGTTGATGAGAGGGGAAAGGATGGAGAGAGAGATTGACAAATGGATCATTGAAGCATCTGCAGTGATGGGGATGTTGTATCAGTCTGTCGTGGTCAAGAAGGAGCTGGGCCAAAAGGCAAAGTTCTCGAATTAATGGTCAATCTACATTACTCACCCATGGTATCCAGCTATGGGGTAGTGACCGAAAGAACGACATTGCGGATATAAGTAGATGCAATCAATTTTGTCCTTGGGGTGGCCAGGCTCTCCCTTAGAGATAGGAGGACAAGCTTGGTCAAATGGAAGGGGCTCAAAGTAAAGCTGGTGCTCCTCTGCATCGTGAGGAGGTGGCTTTGGCTTCTGGCCTAAGCCACAGTCCAAGCGGCATGTGGCTCAGTGATTGCTGAGGCAAAAACTTGGGCATGGGAGAAGTTCGGGGAAGACATTGAAAAAAGACTTCCATACAGCTTTGAAGTGATTCTGGTCCACCGTCCAGCGTCTCTGGGGGGAGGGGGCCAGTGCTTCACCAACACTGCGTGGTGTGTTGTTGACTTCAACTCGTGACGTTGTGGGTTAGTGGGCGGAATCCTTCGAAGACCTCCTCAATCCCATTGGTGCGTCTTCCATTGGAAGGGCAAAGCCTGGGGATCTGGGGTCTGACTCTCCAATCTCTGGGACTGAAGTTACCGAGGCGCTCAAAAAGCTCCTCGTGGCAAGGCTCCGGGGGTGGACGACATTCTGCCGGAGTTCCTCAGGGCTCTGGATGTTGTGGGGTTGCGTTGGCTAAAAGGACTCTGCAGCATGGCGTGGACATCAGGGGCAGTTCTGTGGGATTTGCAGACAGTGGGTGGTGGTCCCCCTATTCAAAAAGGGGGACCGAAGGGTGCATTCCAACTACAGGGGATCACACTCCCTGGGAAGGTCTATCCAGCCGTTCTGGAGAGGAGGGTCTGTCAGATAGTCGAACCTTGGACTCAGGAGGAACAGTGCGGTTTTCGTCCTGGCCGTGGAACGCTGGACCAGCTCTATACCCTCAGCGGGGTCCTGGAGGGTGCATGGGAGTTTGCCCAACCAGTCCGCATGTGTTGTGTGGACTTGGAGAAGGCGTTTGACCGGGTCCCTCAGCGTGTCCTGTGGGGGTTGCTCCAGGAGTACGGGGCCCTTTGTTTTGGGCTGTTAGGTCTCTGTACAACCGGTGTCAGAGCTTGGTCCGCATTGCCAGTCGTTAGTCAGACCTGTTTCTGGTGAGAATTTAAATCCGCCAAGGTTACCTTTTGTCTCTGGTTTTGTTCATTTTGAAACAGATTCAATTTTAAAACATTTTGGGGAATGAACTCTTGGTCCGTCCATATAAAATGTAACAGTAAATTCCATACCACGGTGAGTAGATAGGTGAGAGGCATAGACCACAGTAATAGTTGACATAAAATATGATCCATCTACTGCATAGCAACAACGTCCAGATTTTAGTGCAGCAGTAATTACTAATTATGTTGTGCGATGCATAACAGGATAACAAATAAATAGGAGACATTTTCCTGCAATGATTTGTAATCTATTGATGTAAGCAGGTTGACAGTTGATCACTGCATCATTGATTACCAATGAATGCTTCCATTTTTATATTATACAGAGGCTACCAGACTCTTACTTGCTCCTGCATGATTTTTAAAATGACTATTTTACATAATAAAGGACTACAACTTTATCCTCATCACTGTTTTTCTTCTGGTTCAGACAAGGCAAAAAAGAAAAAACAACAACTACGTATTATATTCCTAAAAATATCCAAATATCTAATTGAGTGTAACTTCAGTGTTTATCCAGTTTACTGCGTTCTTTGTAACGAATTTTACTGCATGATTCAAATGTCATGGCTTCTTAGTCTTGAAATTAACTCATGACCTTCTTTAATATCTGTAAGTAAGCCTTGACACCACAGTTTGTTATGTACCTTTACATTGTTACTTCCATATGAGATGTTTTTATGAGATATTATAAGTGCAAGAATAGCTTGACCTCACATCAAGCAACGAAAAGTTTAATATGATCATTTCAGAAATGCCAAACATCAGATACACATAAGAACTTTAACGCAAATTCAGTTCTGCATTTGACATTTGGTATATATTCAGCAATTTGAAAGTAGAATTTCCAAGAGTTACCATAAAATAATATAATTGCTATGATATATTACTATGATATTTTGTAAGTATAAACAATGAACATGCATGCTTTAAAATTAATAATTGAGTAAATAAATAAACACTTTAGTATGGGTGTGTAAAATCAGTTTAATTCCTACACAGTGGCTGCCTTGTGTTGTGCTTTGGTCATTCCAGTTTCAGGAACAAACCTGAATCTAATTCACGTGACTTCACACTCATTAACAGATGTGGTTGTACACAGACTTGCTGGAGCCTCAATTCTTTCAGTCAGAGCGGGTGAAAAGGCTTTGGGAAAATATGCTTGCTTATTGCTTGTTAGCCACAAAACAGGAAGAACCCTATGGGTGTACCACACAACAACAAGATGAGTGACATATATTGCTGTTTAAAATAAAATTGCAAAGGAGTGAATTATTCAGTCAGCAAATATATTGATTGTCCGGGCTGATCTTTGACCCTGCTTATAAACACCCAAGTAGCATCCAAACATCTCATATTAGCCAAAACATGTAATAGGTATTGTTAACTGGAATTATTTTGATTATCCCTTATGTTTCCCTTTATCATTCCTACCCCTGGATTCAGTGAATCCAAGGTTATGAGAGACCCCAGGTGGACACACAAAGGTCAGTACCAACTTGCTATTTTCGGCTCATTATTTTGGACTGTTTAGTTTAACTTTTCCCGCAACTCAACTCGAGGAAATCTATTTTCAACAAAGATACATCACATGGACACAACCCTCCAGCTACCTCCCAGACAACATCAAACTCAGCAATTGATGCTGCAAAAAAAAGTCATTACCAGGCTGGTAATCATTTGGTTGTATTCAACGAGTGCAAATGTTGTCGATGTTGTAATTATCTCTGATGGAAGTAAAATAGTCTAATATTTAATTTATCTGCGGAGCTTTATCATCATCAAATTTGAAAGGTGAAAGATCAATTTAAATAGAACTCTTTTTGCAGTATTATTCTCGTCAATATAAAGTATTGCCTGATTTATGACATAGGACCAAAGAAGTCATGAGGTTAATTTACCTGGAAGCCAAGCAGAATGCAGAGGTACCATGGTGGCCTGTCATTAAGGGAGTAGACCAATTCTACACCTTTGTCCCTGGTCTCCTCCAGGGCTTCAGCGTTTGGTTGCTCCACAATGTCGACTCTCAAATGTGGCTGTTCATCACTGCCCTGGAACAGAAGCACAATACAAGAGAATAAGTCTCGAATCCTGTAGGTTAATTTATTAATAGAAAACTAAATAGATATTTACTGAAAATGGTTTTGCTCACCAATTCTGACATTGACCTAAATACCTTAATCTTAACCGTTTGGTTTCTTTATGGTTTATTTTTTACAAGATAGAATTTCTTCAAAAGAAATTGATAGAAAATAGATAGAATTTCTTTTTAAAAAGTTGATAAAAAGTGTTTCAAAATCCTTCAACGATATGTGATACCGTACAAAAAATTATTCCTTAAAGTTGTAACTAAACATGTTTCTACAAGCAATTGAATTGTGATCAGTACATTGTATTTTACATGATGCTTCTGTGACTTGGTTCAGCCTTTGTTTTGTGTTTTACCTGTGTTACATGTGTTGCTTTTCTCATGCAATTGTATTTATGGTACCCCCCTTTATGTATGCTTAACGCTGATTACACTTTGGGCTAATCAGATGCACTGATGGCTTGTCTTTGGTCCTGCCTTTGGTCAGGACTGTGTTAAATCCCTCTTTAAGTTTGAGTCTGTGTTAGACATTGGAGTTTTTGCTGGCTTCAATTCTACACTTATCCTTAACTTACATGATTTTTTTTTCTTTTTTGTTTGTTTTGTTCTACCCCAACCTTTGTGGGTACACTGCCGTTATTATTTTTATTGTGCAACCCTGTCACTTAGCATTATATGTTCCTAGCTGTCAACCTGTGTTGTAACTTGCCTGATGCCCCCCTGTTGAACCAGAGTTGATCATTTAATTAATCCTTTTTTCTGGCTCAGGACAACGGTATCATCTTGCTTCCCATGTTTTAGTTTTTTGTTTTCAACTTTAACAATGCTGTATTTTTTGTTAATAGACGTTAATAGCCTACTGAATCCCACTGTTGTGCTGTCTCTCTTTTTTAACTGAAATCAGCAAGTCTGCCAGCAGCTGACTTTGGCTTGATCCCTTTGTAGAGCTGCGATCAGAGAAAGAGGTGGTGTATAGAAAGATTGAGTGAGCTCCAAGAATTGGCAGTAACCAAAATTTAAAACTGTTGAAAGGAAAATACTGTATTCAATGTGTAACCCACACATCAGATACATGACTTATTTGGCATAGAGAGCAAAAGACCTAAAGAACTGAGGTCTGAACTACTTTCACATCAATCTAACAAATGAGCTTCTCCATTGAACTGTTGTAAGGAATTCAGAAATTCAGTACTAGTTCATAACTAAAAAGGAAACTATAAAAAACAAGAGGACTGATGAGTTGTTTTGCTTTGTGCACAGAAAATGTCCTTTACAACTTTGCATGAAATGCACTACATCACCAAATTGATGAAACTTTAAAGATTACTCATCTACAGGAGGGTCGATTTTGATATTGATCTGAAGTAAAGTTAACATGGGATCTTGGGATCCTCCTGGAGGAGCTGGCAGAAGTGGCAGGGAGGAGGGAAGTCTGGGTTCCCTGCTCGGCTGCTGCCCCCGCGACCCGACCCCGGATAAGCAGTGGGAAATGGAAGGATGGATGGATGGATGGATGGATGGATGGATGGATGGATGGAACATTCAGTATGTACGAAAAAAATCAAACACTGTTTATACAGTTTCAATTGTTAGAATAGTAAAATGAATGTTTCCATAAGTTTTTTTTTAGAATATTAACTAGGGATGTAGGGGGTTCTGCAAATAGGTTCTATATTATTCCCATGTATGGCTGGGTTCTCGGCAGGTATTTGGGCTTCCTCCCGCCATCCACAAACAAGAAGGATTTCTTTCATGTTTCAATAAAAAGTGTCTTGCTTTATTCTAACTATTTGGTACTTTATAAACATCTGTCCCCTTTTTATGGCAGATTCATATATATTATTTGGTTAATTAATATCAATTTTGGTTAATTGATAGACTGATCTGATTAACATTCATTGACCAATCTAAGTATATGACATGATCATTGAGGAAACAAGTCTTTTTTTTACATCCACCCAAATTACTTTAAAACGTTTTTTCAAGAGAATTCAAAATGTCATGTCAACTAATCTTCTGAGGATCCATTTGTAATATTTTTCCCCGACAGGTTGTGAAACCGTTTCATGCATGAGAAAACTGTAAAAGGGCAAACACATGACGACAAGGACCACTTTTTGCTTTCCAAGTTCACTGAATTAGTCATGAATTATAACCTCTAGGTGACTGCAAGAACTTACTTTAAAAGCCTGACATAAATAACACATGTAGCATCTCCACAATGATCTGTTCACTAAAATACTGCATCTTGTTTTGTGAAATATAATACCTGCATCTCATACAAGAGCCAGATGACTGTGACAAACCACAAGACTTTTGCTCTACAGTTCTTGTCTATCATGTTACAGGGTCCCAGTAGACAGAGGATTTGGAGATAATGTGAATGTTTGCTACCGTCTAGTGGCTATTCACCTGTACTGTTTCCAAGAGAGACATAGCTGAAGTTATGTAGCTAACAGTCATTACTGCCTCATAGTTTTCTTTGTTTGGTCTTAAATATGTTGACTTTTCACAGTCGCAATTATTTTGGTTTTGACATATGTGAAGAATAAGAATATAGCTTTCCTGACACGGGATACTCTACACAACTCACTATCCTGCACCAAGGAAAATTAGACAAACCAAGCCACTAAACTAATGTTTCACATATTTATTGTGTATCAGCTATGGTTGGCAAAACAAGTTAATTAAAAACCTATTATGTAAGTCACATCAACATTTTTAGTAGACTGGCACTGCAAAGGTGGATACAATGACATATTTTCCACATCTACAAAGATAAGAACATTTTTGATAAAAAATTCCATGAAACAAGAATACAATTATTATTCCTTATGGTGTTTAAGTGGTTTGTGATCAAATATATGGCATTATTTGTATTGGTTAAGTATACTGTAAGTATTTCCTACATACACACAGGGAAATTAAAAATCTATGAGTTGTTTACATGCTACTTATAATGAAAATCAATTTGTTTCTCTTAAAAAATTCAAGGGGAGCAGCAAATGCATAGATGGATGGATGGATGGATGGATGGATGGATGGATGGATGGATGGATGGATGGATGGATGGATGGATGGATGGATGGATGGAAGGAAACAGATTATGTGAGGCTAATAGTCACTTAATCTGACCTGCATGATTTTTCTGTGCACTACATCATGTGATAGACTGTTTGCCTTCTGTTTTACGGCCATGGCCATATGAAGCAGTAAGTTTGGTGTGAGAAAACCATCTTGTTGCTCAATAACTGTTTAAGGGGCCTCTCTGTGTGTAGAACTAGTTGCCAGCATGTGCTGGGCTATTCTTTACAGATGATTGATACATCTCTTCACCTTTTCAACTTCCAGGTCTTCTGTGATGTCAGTGAATGATAAAGCTCTTTAGAAATATACTGCATATTTGCAGTTGTAGTTACATTAATTTCTCTTCCTGCCTCAGACAGTGTGCTATGTACTTAACAAGTTCAGTGAACCGGAACACTCCGCTCCGCCATTGTGTTTGCTTTAGCTTTTCCTCTTGCTTCAACTTGGCCACTGAAGTAATTATCATGATGTATGTATTCAGTGTATACCAACAGATGTCCTTGTGTCTTATGCTTTATTCATAAGAGTTAGTTTTTTATTGTTTTTATTAGGCACGATAAATAATTTGTGGCACAAATATATCCACCTATCCAAACATTAGCTTTTAAGTTGACACCTGAGAGCTGACTGACTTCGAGCTTTCGAATCTGCATACTTGGAAAAACATGATTGCAAAGTAATACTTTACATATTTCCCTAACATTAGCTGTCACACACTTCAAGATGTTTTATTTGAATAAAAAAGTGCTACAGGAAGTTGTTTTTAATGTTTTAATTTACATAGGAATAATTAACGTAATTGTTATCAAAACTAAAGGTAAAAAAACACATTGGAATTAAATGTGAAGCCGGCCTTTGTTTTTGGACTTAAGACTCCAGATTCCCCAGATATATGAAGCCCCATATCAACTGACTTGACCTGACCTTCTCAGACTGAAAAACAAAAGCTGTCTTGTATAAATTGCCAGGGAACGAATTTCATTTATATGAATAAATCTATTTATCTCAAGTTGAGGAAAAATGTATTTTTGTGTGATTGTTTCGTCCAGTTTTTGAAGAACTAAACTTGTTGTCTCATGGTTTAATTAAAATATAAAATGTAAGTTGCAGGTTTTGCTTTTACAAATGAAATTTAGTATAATGAAAGCTGCTTCAAATTTCATCTTACTGTAAATTACCTCAACAATTATTCATTAAAAACAAATAATCAATTAATAATTAAAGGAAAAAAACTAATGCAAAACATTTAACGCCAACATTTTCAGGTTTATTTTTTACAATTTAATGTAAATATGGTCTTATTTTAAACATGAAGTTTAAGACAAAATGAAATTACTTTCAACTGACAAAGTACTAGGAAAACAAACCAACTTGATATCATAAAAAGGTGTGAAAATATGCAGACGAATGAATTCTGAAAACTTAATTGAAATGCCAAAGTCAGCACACACAATATATATATGAAATTGTAATCATACATTCTACATTTAGATTTACTACTGGAAGTTGTTTGCTATTTACTTTTATGCAAATAGTTAAAAATGAACTCCAAGTTTTTCACATATACCGTAAGTATGATATACTGACCTGCTCATTTATCTGTAATCAGTTTTTTGCTCATTGTTTGTTAAATTCTTGAAAGTATGTCAGTGCAGGGGGACAAATATCAACCCCTCAGACAGCTGTGAACACCATGGAGTCCAGTATCACTCTCACGCACACAGAAATATACGTAGATATGGGACTTCAGATGGCATTGTTACAATTATTTTACTGGAAAATGTCCTCACTTTTGTTCATGACTTGCACAAAAACCCAGAACGATGACTACAACTTCAACCTGACTGTGATGAAAACAACACTCTAGACCCTAAATTACTTAATTCACGGAGTGACTTTGAACTTTATAGAACTCCCTTTAGTTGGCAAAAGCTTAACTTTCACCACAGCATTCCTATAAACAGTTGTGAATCCAAATAAATGCACTCCACTGGGTTGTGAGGAATTTAAGGTTTTGTCATTGTAGTTACTATGGAGCCTTAATAAATCACTCTCTTACATTTAACAGAAATCTTGGCAACACACTCTAAAGCCATGCAATCAATTCCACTCAAATAACTTGTGTTTTGCAGAACACATCCACACTTTGTTCACTTCAAATTCCAAAGCGGCTCACATTTAATTCCTGGTACTGTAACCTAACAAAATAACTCTACACAGGACTCAGTTCTTCCGTTTTCCATTTTACAGATCAAGCATTGTTATCGGTTTCCCACTGAGTTACCCTGAAACCAAGATTCAGGACAAATTCACTTACCGAAAATGCAGGATTGAACCCCAGCTCTATCTTCTCCTCTGTTGTAAGATGCATTCTGGTAAAAGAGGCAAGGTGGTGTATAGTTGCTTCAGCGGGCCACTTAGAAATACTGAGACACGCAGAGAGGGGGTCAGACTGTGTCCTACATCTGACTACAGATGTAAGAGGGACAGTGTGAACGCCTCACGTTACCAGGGGAACGTAGTATCACAGGAAAAAAAGTGGCTTGCTTATTTTCTAATCTGTTCACCCACTCTCAAATGTCTCCTCTGTACTGGCAGAAAATGCAACTCTGAGTTGTGGTCATGTGTTTGCTGATGTGTGATGATGGATCTTACAAGGATAGAAGCACGTTTCTCACATAAATTAGTCATACTCAATTATTCTTATTATAGGCTTAGAGTTAAGACTTTTTAAAGTAAGCGATATTTTGCTGCAGGGCCTTTAATTGCTGGGATTTTTCCGAGCACCAGACATCAAGTTACATGTTGTTAGAATCTGGTACTTGACATTTAGGTAAGATGAGATAAATCATATCCGTTGTACTCCTTTCTACTGGTTCACATTAACCATATCTTCCTGCACCACTAAAGGCTTCAGTAATGCTGAATTCAGACTAAAATCTCTGTCACAATTCATCAAATTTAGCCCTGAACTTTTCATGATAACACTTTTTCTTATACATATATATACAGTACAATGTGCTTAGTTTGCCTTTTTTTTGCTTGTAGGACGATAGGTAATAACAACACTCTAGTCTATAAATGAACATAACACAATTTACAAGCTACATTCATGACTGATACATTTAGTGACTTGTGTATGCTTTTATAGATTAGTTGTACAACATTTCAGGCTAAATGCGATCCCTTGAATGGATTGTATTTGATTAAATAGATATTGTATCTTTCACCTTTATTCATTGTAAAGAGTTTTTTCAAATCTATAAGTGAATCAAATTATTCATTTGTTTGCCTTACTTATAAGTTGGCATGCCTGAACTTTATTTGCTTCTAAGCTCAGTGTCGCCTGCATCCTGATCACCATCTTAGAGTAGAATTCCAAGAGTGCCCCTGTTTGTTTCTACATTGTCCTAAACCGGTGTCCTACTCATGATCCTCACGTGTCGTCCCTGCCTTTCCTCTATTAATACACTGTGTTAAGTCTACTTATATTTATTGTCTTGTATTATCAAGTGTCATCCTTAAGAATAAACTCCCAGTGAAGAAACACCTAAACATGGATACAGTTGTCATTACTTCAGTCTGACATAATTCTCATGTTCTAAAAAGTTAGGCCACTGTTGGGAAACTTGGCAAAAATGTAAATAATGGTGGAGCTTAACGAAATGATCGAAAACCGACCATTAACTGCAGCTCTGGGGCGAAAAAGACAGCATGCCTCTGCCAGTGGTTCAGTAATCTGTGTCCTTAGTCACAGTGATAAGCAGAGTCTTGCTTTTGCTTTGCTATTTCAGAATCTTTTTTTTTTTTTTTGCCACAATTTATGAGAGCTTCAATTCAACGTTTGAGTCTATTGTGTATTAAGGGTTTTAAGGACATTTGCTTTCTAAGTGGTTTAATCTTTAAAGATTGAACTTTTTTTACATGGAATAGGCTATGGTGATGTCTCAACTGCTGCTCTTAAAACTTCTTTTTTTCCCCGATTCAATTCAAACGACATGTCCTGATCAAAGATAACTCTAAGATTTCTCACAGTGGTGCTGGAGGCCGGGGCGATGCCTTCCAGAGGAACTGTATCTTTAGATAATGCGTCACGGAGGTGCTTAGGCCCTAGAACAATATCTTCAGTTTTATCAGAGTTTAACTTTAGAATATTACAGGTCATCCAGGTTTTGACATCCTGAAGACACATTTGAAGCTTAGCTAACTGATGAGTTTCATCTAGCTTTATCGATAGATATAGAGCGGTTCCTTTGATCCCAATTAAATGTTCCAGTCTCTGTAATTAGATCGAATGGTCAATAGTATCAAATGCAGCACTAAGATCTAATAAAGCAATACAGAAAAAAGTACTTTGTCTGATGCAGTTGGGAGGTCATTAGTAATTTTCACCAGAGCTATCTCTGTGCTATGATGAGCTCTAAATCCTGACTGAAATCCTCAATTAATGTAGATCTTTTAGCTGTATTACTTATTAAGGCTAAGATTTTCTTGCTTCAATATCTTATTTCGATTTTCAGTTCAATCTTGGGGTTGGAGTAAGTCATTCTTTGTTTGTTTTTTTGTTTTTTTTCAGTCTGTAGCACAAAAAAGCCCTCAGAATCTTTTTCACCAGAACAAAAATAAAGCTGACACACATGTCATGCATTGACATTTATATGTTGCCTGTTTCTTTAGTGTTCTTCTTGTCTCCATTACGTACGTAAGTATACTGAAATGTTTAAAACATTACTATGAGAATTTCAAATCAGCTTTCCCTGGTACCATTACATATTTTGGATACTCAGCATGTCCACGGAGAAAAAAAATCTCAACTAAATGAAATTCTATATACTTTGCACGAACTGAGTTGGATAAATAGTACACATACATTTTCAATAAATTACTTACATTTGGCCGAGCAAAACTGACATGAGCAAGACTGGAAAGTAAATCTGATTCACAAAATATACATGCAATGTAGTTAACTTGTATCTGTCTATTTTCTCCTCATTACATTGGTCCTTTGTACAGTCACTAGAGGAAAAACACTTTTTAAAAGTTAATTACCTGTGCAGGTAATGTGTCATTTCAAGGTTAAAAGCCCATCATCTGATGATTTCACAACAGCAAATGTGGGAAATTTAAGTAATTAAATTATACCAATCACAGATCCAGGATTTTTTGAAGAGAGAAATGGCCAGCCTGAATCCGGCAACAGCCACAACAATAGTGAAAGCTTAATAGCATTTATGATATTGAAAAAAACTGTCATAATTATTATTATTATTGTTAAAGTTACCCATAAATGATAGAATTTTATAAATAGAATTTTAATTAAATATTAAAACTTTAACAGCACTGTGGCGAAACGCATTGTGATCTGTGAGAGTCCTCCTCAGCTACGATGTAACACTAGAGGGAAAAAACAAAAAAACAAATAGATAATTATCCATCCATTATCTATACTCCTTATTACTGGGTGGATAGAGATGACATCCCATCTGATATTGGGCAAGAGGCCGGTTTGGACTGGTCACCAGTATAATAACTACTATAACAATGTAATTTTATTTTTGGTGAGATATTGTATTTATACAATTTAATTAAATCATATTTAAGTTTAGAATAAACTCACAGTAATAGTTTTGGGATGGTGTACTGCAGGCACTTGGTGAACGACAGTCAGCATAACTGTCATCCTGTATTATCTTGCTTAATCTTTAAGAAAACACAACTTCTTTATGTCTGCATTTTTTACTTTAGCCTCAGGGTATCTCCACAGAACATTGCGAAATGTTTTCACAAGTTTCAACATGTCATCAAGTAGAAATAAATAAATAGTGCATTTACAGCATATGTCATATCCACAGGCAGCTCCTGTTTTCAATACCAGGGCCTGCACCTGTAAAAAGGGATATCCTGAAAAAATTATGACCTAGAAACCCTTTCCCAAAGATTGAACCATAGCTTTTTTTCCAGCTTGGATTAACCATTGACAACTGTGATGCTCCATTCAACAGATATTCACACAGAAACTCATGACCCATGAGCTAAGTGACCAGAATGTGTAACTGTAACAGGTGAAATTGACCTACGTGATTGTAGTTTGGTAGTGTGGTGTACAGCTAGAAAACTCAAATAGCCTAATCAGGATGGACAAGGAGTACAGTGCTCTGAATAAGAGAGAGTAGACCAATGTGACATGGAGATTTGTTAGAAATAGGAAAAAGCATGCAATATCCAAAGTGATCAAATTATTATTCATTTAAATAATGAATAGTAAAGATAAATAAAATACATTTGTGAATAAATATATGCCGTACATTATCAGAATAAACCTTTTTTACAGTTGATATGTGTTCTGCATTTGTTTTATGTAGAATATTTAAAATAAAAGTCTTCATATGCTTTCTCTCCCTCTCAAGCCGAGCCAAGTGCGTGTCACTAAAAGAAATGTTACACGATAAGAGCCATTACAGCCAGCAGGACAGATGAAAACTTACCAATTCTGTTTGATGAGTTATCACCATTAACACAGCGTTTGACTCAAGGCACTCTGTTTTTGATGGATCCTACTTAAGTTGTAGGTGCAACTTTTCTTTTACAATCTTGCAGTTAAGAGTCCATACTAAAGGTCTGAAAAGATTTACCATGGCACTGAACATTCTGAAAGGATTCTTTGTATTTTTGGCCTTTAAGCTCGTATTACATGATGGTCTCATCGGGAATAAGAGAAATCCAAAGCATCAGGACTGTTTCCATTTTAAATTAAGTTATCCATGTCACTGTGTGTCTGTTAAGATAATAATCCCAGTCCTCAACACCCCCTAAGGTATCAGGTCTTTAAGATACTACACACATTTAGAGGAAAACCTGTCTTTGTTGGAGACGGTAAATAAAACGTTACTTTATACGTGCGACTGTGAAACACTTTAAACAATCATACCGTCCTGGTAGACAGTGACGAATGTGACATGTGAAAAGAATGGATCATGGCTTCAGTTCCAGGCTCTGATGAACCATGAATACTTGTGATGCTCCAAACAAAAGGCGTTCACACAGTAACCCATGACCTTCATGCAAGCAAGTGACCAGCATGTGCTTCTGTAACGGCATCGATCAACCTTGTATAGCTGGAAGTGCCTCGGTGTTCCAATTCGTGTGTAAAGTCAAAAGCATGTCAGTGTTGATAATGTGAAATCACTTTGTTTATGACAGGAGATGGTGGCTGTCTTTTTTCCCCCTAAAGTTCACATGGGAAGTTAATGCTTGATATGGTAATCCGTAACCATCATTCTGCCGTGCTGTGATAAAACACTGCTGATAGGGCAAGTGAGGACACTCTGACCACATCTCTTCCACTCTCAGTCTTAACCCATGATTACCACAAAGGTATGTCATTGACTTTGCATGTCTTGTCATGTAGTCCATTTCGTTTTTTCCCCCGTGCTCTCTGTTTCTGGAGCTGTACTTACCTATGGCCCTGTAGTTGCTAGTTTAACCATCTTCTCTGTGTTTATTGCTTTGATGTTTTACGTTAAACATTTTCTCCAACTGCTTGTGGGAGGAGACCCAGGACACGCTGGAGGGACTATG